GGCTAGGGTCTGGAACCAACTTCCAAGAGAGGTGGTGCAGGCTCCTACCCTGGGGGGTTTTAAGAGGAGGTTAGATGAACACCTTGCTGGGGTCGTGTGACCCCAGTACTCTTTCCTGCCATGGCAGGGGGTCAGACTAGATGATCTGCTCAGGTCCCTTCTGACCCTAGAAACTATGAAACCATCTGCAGGATGCAGCCGTGTATCACAGCTGCTCTGGGGAAGAGTTATACAGCTTCAGGTAGCAAGGCTGGGCCACATGGCCCTGAGTGAGCTTTATTAGGAGGAGGTAGAGATGCTGGGGTGAGGTTTAATGATGCTCCTTGCCCCTTTGCACCAGGTGGGGAAGGGACACCTGCTGTCCTGGTGAGGATCAGTGTACCATCACACCAGGCACTATGCACATGTGTATACTACTAAGCCAGGTCCTGCCCCAAATTGCTCACAGTCCTGAAATTAGAAATTGTTTTCTGAAGGGATCCCACTTGTGATGCCCTGTCAGAGAAGTGGGGAAACCAGCACCTGGACAGACAGGGAGAAGGGTCTTGGATCTGCTACACAGATCCAACCTCGATGATCCATGCCTCTGTCAGCATCTAGTTCTGAGGCTGCTCCTCCTTTGGAGAGGCATCCTGGTGCCCAGCTGCCACCCTTGGGACCCTTCCCGACTCACCCCACACTTCTCCTTTCTGATAAACTGTTCCATCATTGATCTATCTTCTCCTCCAAGGCTGACTCCTCTCCAGTCCAGCAGTTGGATGCTCTAAATACACCCCTTGCTCCCTCTTACTCCCCCCTCCCCCCAAGTCCGCAGCAGTGCCTTCAGAGCAGCTTACACGCATCTGGAACCTGAGTGTTCCCAGCCCATCCCTGCTCACTGAAGAGTGAGGATATAGGGGAAAGGCTGGCCAGCTATAGTGCTGGGGGTCCATACCCCCAAGTGCACACTGTTTGGGTCATGTTCAGAGCCCTGCAAGCCCAGGAGCAGGTGACCTAGTCTTTTGTGTGGCAGTGGGGATCCCTAAACTTGGGGCTCCTGTCCCAGCCTCTCCAGTGCACCGCCAGCTTGGGGGACCTGTAGCCACGCAGGATCTCCCTTTGAAAAGACCTGAGCCAAACACACCACTAACCATTGGGCACCAGGCTGGACCCTGACCATGGGCTTGGCGTGCTGCAGAGACCCTGAGGCAAGCAGCAGGCCTGCTGGGTGGGGCTGCTCCTGGCTCCAAGGCCCTGACGCACTGGGATTTGGTGCCCAGGTGGTGAGCTTCGCCAGCCTCAAGTCTGACATGGCGTATGCCTGGATGGTGCTGTGTGTCATCTGGTGCTCCATCGTCCAGGCCATCCTCCTCCCACTCTTCCTCTGGGCCTGTGACCGCTACCGAGCAGATGTCAAGTCCGTCTGGGAGAAGTGCATAGCCATCATGTCCAATGACGACGTTGATGAAGGTAAGGCCGGGCTGCTCTCCAGTGCTGTCATATGGCAGCAAGCTACAGGTGCCCCTCGGGCAGTGTGCTGCACCTGCCACCAGTGAGATCTTGCCAGGGTTGCTGGTGCCCTGGAACCAAGCACTGAGGACTCGCTGTGTGATATTTCACAAACCTTTTTGGAAATGCAGTTGGGGGGGCGGGGGGGAAGAGCTTCATAGTCTGTCTTTGTGCACAACAGGAGCCACAGGGAAACCTGGTCAGGTGGGTTGCATGCCAGCAGTTTCCCCCCAAATAGTCTTTCCAGGCATTGTCCTGCTGTGGATCGTTGCTACATTGCATTCTCCCACCTTCTGCAACTGGCTGAAGTGCGAGTGAAGGCAGAAACTTGGGGGTGGGGCAGGGTGCTGGGGGTGCCTCTAACTGAATTTCTGGGCCTACTCCCTGGGGAGGCATGTTCTGAAATGCCCTTCCCTTCATGGCTGCTGTGAAGTGTGAGCACATCCCTGAAGTCCTGGGGCTCATTCCCTGGAACCTGAACCCCAGGCTGCTCCCAGGGAATGGGGAAGAACTAGGATGTTGACTGCCAGGAATGGCATGTAGAGCAGGGATGGAGATTGCTCCTAATTTTACCCTGGGTGTATTTTTACCCTATTGCTTGATTATAGCAGCAGCACTGGATCCTCAGGGAAAAAGCCTATGTGGAGCAGCACCCTTAGTACCCTTGTGGGCAGGCCTCTGCCCACCTTGGCATCACACTACCCTCCTCTTCCACAAACTAACTGGGACTTTGATGCCCTCCAGACAACAGCCTGGATGGTGCCATTCATGCAGACCTGATGTACGAGAGGCCCTACGACTACAGCTACGGGGGGGATGTCATGACATTGGACCACATTGTGAAGTATGACTTTTCGGCCCTGGAGCGAGGGATCCCCCAGGTCTATCCTCCCCGGTCAGTGCAAGAAGACAAAATGCAGTATCTCCAGGTATGGCACACAGGGCTCAACAGGGGCCAGCAAGCAGCATGCATCAGAGCTTCTTGAAGTCAGAGCACCAGGGGAGTTCGTTTATTAGCTTTCTATCTCACCTAGCGAGAAGGCTCTTCTACAGGCAGGACCACAGCTCAGCAGTTCTGGTGCAGTGAGACTGCTGTCCCAGCAGGTACAGGCAGGGAGTAGACACTTGCTGCATAGGCAGGTGCCAACTTTGGTTTTTGCCGATGGGCGCTATTTTGGGGGAGGGAGGGAGGGAGCCCTGCGTGTGCCCAGTAGAGGCAGCACATTACTTTAACCTGGCTCACCCAATGTTTGTAAAGATTGGGTGTTTTAGTGGGACTTCCTTGGCTTTTTTATCTAATAGCTGATTTAATCAGCTTTAGCTAAACGAGCCAAAAAGCCCCACTGAAGCGCCTCATCTTTACAGACACTGGGGAGCCAGGTTGAAGTAACACACTGCTTCTTCTGGTAAAGCACATTTTTTGATTTTTTAACTTCTGTGAGCAGCCACAAAGATTTAACATGTAAAACCAAAATGGCTGTGGCTCATGAGTCCTGAGCACCTGCTAATTTTTTTTGGTGGGTGCTTGAGCTCCAGAGTACCCGTGCAGTCAGTGCCTACCACCTGTTGTGCTGCAAAACGCACTAGCAGCTCCCTTCTGCTGCACAGCAGGGCAATCCAGGTCCAGACAGACAAGGATCAGAGTGAGAACCTGCTGGCTTCAATGCCCAGAGTCCTAGGGCAGCTGGGAATAACCTAGTCTTTGCACATTCTGCTGTTCCCAAGATTGTGGGGGAAACATGGCAGCAGACTGGGTTGCTGGGAGATTGTGCAAAGAAACAGGGGGATGGGAACAAAATTGCTCTGTAAAAAATGAATTCCTATCTGGGTCTATTTAAAGCCCTGGGTAGAGCAGCTGCATCACTCAGCACCTGAGCAAAGCTTACTGTAACCTTCGCTGCTGTTGACTTATTGTGCTGTGCTCTTTGCCTGGCCAGTGCTATTGTAAGATGCAAAGCTCCCCTCCCCCGCCTCTGTTTGCATTTCTTTAGTATACTTGATTATAGCACTAAGCATGCTGAGGATGGCAACCCTGAGGAACTGAAGTGTAACACACAATAATTCTTTTCCTGGGAGTCCTCCATGTGAATTAACAGCCTGCCAGGATGGCTCTGGCATTCTAATGGGCAGAAAAATCAGTCATAATTTACAGGGACACAGCTGATTTCCACAGCTGCCCCATTGCACTCTGGTTGCTTTACACAAATGCTCATGCAGGGTGCTATGCCAGGCCCACCCTACACTGTTACCTTGTAAATACCAAATGAACTTCTTGCATTTGCTTTCATCTGTACACAAGAGGATGCCTTGACAGGAGGATGGTGCACTGGACACCTCCATGTTGTCCTACCACATGCATCAATCACTCTTGTAGGCATCTATTAAATTTGCATTTCCCTGTCTCCCATGGTCCCTCTGTGGGAATCCTAAGTCTGTCTCTGTCTGATGGTGGCAGCCCCTAAGCTTCTGCTCCTGTAACATCAGGATCCTGCCAGGGACAAGCCCCACTCCCCTGAGGACAGGCATTACTCTCAGCCTCCTTCCAGTCCCCTTGCTGTTCAAATCTGCATGTTCCCATGGGTGGTTGCTGGTGGTGTTGCAGAGAGCTCCATGTGAGTCCTGAGTCTCAAACCAAACAGTCTGAGGAAGGAAAACTGCCGTGGCTGATATTGCAAAACTCCATTCTGAGGATTTCTGCTGAAACACAAGGAGACAAAGTTCTTTGGGTAAATCCAATATCTTTTATTAGACCGGCTAAAATAGTTGGGAAAATTCTTCTTTGCTGAAACATAACACATTTTCCAAGCTGCCTTTACCATATGATCCCTCCCCACCCGCTCCCTGCTTTAACTCTGCAGGCAGGTCAATAAAATAACATGCCTCTGTTATGCTTCCGCATGGTGGTTGGGCAAAACGTCCAAGCATCTGGCAGAACACAGCCCATGGACATAATCAGTAATTGGTCCTGATTACTATATTGACCCATTGGGTGATGCCTGGGGGTGATCGCTCGAGGGTGGACAGAACCCACTGATAAACCTTCAGCCATTAGCTGTTGTGTCTTCGCATTGCCATCACATGCTGAGCGGTGAGACTAAGGTGGACACTCCCCAAACAGCTTCTGCCTCAGAAGCATGTAGCTGAACCACAGAGGGCAAAGGGGATAGGGAGGGGTGCAGAGACAGGGTTGGGCAGCGTATCAGTGGTGCAGTGGGCAAGGTTCCAAGTGTGTGGCATCCTGGGCCCAGGCCTTACCAGCTACACCCCACATGGCAGGGCAAAGAATTCCAGGAGCTCTTGAACATGATGTGGTGACTTGGCAGCCGTCAGTTCCAAATCCCCACTGAACAGAGCTGGAGGAAGGGGAGGATCTTAACAACCTCAGCAACAGTATTGCTGCTGCTGGCGCAACAATGGCAGCAGGCATCATACTCCAATGGCACCTTGATGCTGGTACCACTGCCACAGGGGATTCTTCAGGGAGCCCCAAGAATGCCTTGTGCATCTGGGAGGGAGGTGGTGGGCACTGGGCTATACTGCAGCTGGCTCTGGGGGGTAGCAGGGGCACACTGCCATATGGGTGTGCACAGGGCTGTGCCACTAGGTACCTGTCCCTTGTGGTCCTGGCGTGAATCCATTGCCCTGGGCAGCGCAGGGCAAGGCAGGGCAGGGAAGACTGCCTCCTGCAGATGTTTTCTCCCCTCTCCTCCAGGTGCCCCCCATGCGGCGTTACTCTCATGATGAGACAGACATCTGGACAACAAGCCAAATCTCAGCCTACCTGCAGCGCTGGGGGGCAGGAGATGATGTGGCAGGTCTGGCCCCTTTCCTTACGCCCCGACGAGACCGGCGACGCGGCAGCCTCATCTCCTGCCCTGAGGAGCGGCTGCCTCACCACAAGCGCAGGAGGTCAGCTGAAAGCCTCCTCTCCCTCAAGCAGCTGTCCCGCGAGGACCTCTACAAGGGAGACTACAAGTGCTTCAGCCGGGAGGAGGTGGTGAACTTCATTGACGAGACCCCACTACCCAGCCCCAGGAAGAGCCCTGGGCGTTCATCCTCCGTGTCCTTGTTCCCTGACACCTTCCTGCACCCACCCACCAGGCTGGCTGGCTTCCCCCTCACCCACTTTGAGCGGGAGCCCCAGGGGCTGCGCAGGTTCTCAGCACAAAGCCAGGGATGCAGCCTGGTTGTGCCTGGAGCCCTGCATGCCCAGGAGGACCCTGTGTGCCTCTTTCCTGAGGGGAACCGAGGCCCTTGCATAGGGCAAATCCAAATTGAACTCTGCGAAGCCCAGGCCCTGGACAACTGCCCGGCCATCAGCAGCTGCTCTGAATCAGGGGGGTTTCGGACGGCTCTGAGCACCTCCTGGGGTGACCAGGAAAACCTGGGGAGAGGTGGGAACAAAGGGAGCACCACGAGCTTTCTGAGCTCCCCTTCTGCTTCCTCTGGGTACATCACATTTCATTCAGACTCCATTGGCTCAGCTTCATAGGTCCAGCAGTGCGGGGCCTGTGATGTGCATATCCCTGCCGTTTCGTTGGCACGCCAGTTTTCTATGGCTTTTCTTTTGTCTTTACAAAATGTAGTCTTGGTTTGGAACCTGGAGGTGGGCAAAGCACCAAAGAAATCCTATATAGGTCACACACAAAAATAAAGGGATGGGGAGGGGTTGGGAGTGGGCAGGGGAGAGACTCGTCAAACATAGATCTGCTTGGAGCATGCTGTCAGGATGCTGAGACCTGCATGCAACAGGCAGAGAATGGCCCGCTCCTCCAGGAAGCTTTCCATGTGTGGATAGGCAACCTCAGGGGGGAGCGGGAGGATGAGGGGCAGCATGGGGCTTCTGTCCATACCTGCCTGGTGGGAGCTCAATCTAATACCATGTTCTCACCCCCTACTTACCAGTAGTAATGGTTGTGCATGTGTATTTCTAGCAGTCAGTACTACACAGTTTTCTCCTTATAAGGCTGTTGTAGAAAGCCACATTCAGTTTGCTTCAGAAATAAATAAGGGCATTGTTCAATGCCCCCTGAGCGAAGCAGCCTTATTCCCTGAGTACTGTAGACTTACAATGGGGCACCTTATAGTGAGGGGTCAGTGTGCATACCTGGGTGCACGCAGGTATTGGTTATCCAAGACCTTGATCTCTTTCTGGATAAAGATGTGTAAAGCAACAACCACCAGGTGTCTGTGCTTGGGGAACCTGCCAGCCTGGGCCAGTCATGTGTGCAGTGAGTCAGGATGTCAGATGGAGACACAGGCTTCAGCATATGGCATGTAGGACAACGTGATGGCAACTTGCACAGGGTGCTGCTGACAGTAGTCATTCATGCAGAGGGGAACAGCTGTAGCCACCGAGTCCAACTTTGACATTTACAAATCATTAAGGGCCTTTGTTTTTCTTCCTCTACTGACCTGATTAGAAACAAGAACCAGCCAGGGACTGCTGGGGGAGTTGGGTGGGGGTGCAAATCAAGTGGGCCCCTTGAGGACAAAGCCTTTACAATGGTGGAAAAATGGGGGCTGTTTTGCAAGGAATGTTGATATGCTGGGCAGAATACAGGCACTGAAAGGCTTTTGTCACAAGCCAAAGGCTGAGTTAATCTCCAGCAGAACCAGAGGAGACACTGAACTTTTCTTGTCTGCCTGTCACAAAGAGAGGTGGGTCAGGAGGGAAGAAGTGCCATTTCCATTTCAATGGCTGTGTCCCAGCAGCTCTGTAACCCGCTGTTCTGTCACAATGCAGCTACCTCTAAAGAGGCAGGATAGCTCTGTTTTGGCTGGAGAAATATTAGAAAGAGAAATTGGGGGTGGGGAAGACTTTGTGTGTGTCTTTGTTTTACCAGAAGGCTGTTTGGGGAGGGGCAGTACAGGGGGGAGGGAGTTAAATTCCATTAGTGACTTTTTAGGAATGTCCAAGAGCTACTTTTTGGCTATGTACAGGATGCATGTGTGTACAGTGTTCTGCATCGTAGAAAGGGACTGTTAGGGTGGTTAAGAAGTATACTTAGCTCAAGAACATGGGCTCAGTATTTTGCAACACAGGGAATTAAGTTTACTGACTCCTTCCTGTATATACTTTAATGACAACTGGTACCTGACAAATGTGTGGCTGGAGCTCTGGTATATGGAGAACAGGTTCCAGCTCTTAGCCAAGCCAAACAAATAAGGGCCATTTTTTGAGATGCTGTAACAGCAGATTATCACAGAAGAATATATGGTTTGCTGACAGCATCTTCATTGCTCGTTACTAAGGCTATGTACTTTCATTCCTGTGGTGAGAGTGTGTTGGTCTGCCACTGCCTGCTGATCTGCTGCATGGGCGGGACGCACAAGAATGCAATGGTCTTATACCGTGTTCAATGCAGATCTCCATCTCTCTGCTTTGGGACAGTTTGAGAATAGGGAGCCAGTGCCTCCTGATTCTTTGGGCTGACATCCTGCCCGAACAATTAATTTGTTTTCTTTAGTTTTGTCACAAATGCAAAGACAAGCTAAAGGTAAAATGGAGCTGATTTCCAGGTCGTTAAAACCATAAGGAAGCATGCTTAATATGGGAAAAAGCAATGATCACCACTTCCCCCAGGTCTACTTCAGGAAGCAAGAGGGTGGGTCCAGCATAGCCCACTCTGTTATCCCCTTCCTTCCCTTCTGTCTTTACAAACTGCTTCCTTCCTTTCTGTATTTACAGTCCTTTCTGTTCCCTTCTGTATTTACAACCTGGGTTCAGCTCTGACCAATTGGGTGGGGAGGGGGAAGGGATCTCATCACAGGCTGATAGGAAACCCAAATCCTTCTTGCTGCTACATTCTCTGAGGTCTCCCAGTTGTGCACAAGAAACTACTTGGAGTGCCCATAGGAAAGGATTGAGGTTTTCTACCCATCAGCACCATAGTGCTTGCTGTTGTGCTCAGCTTCCAGGAAGTTTAGGGTGCTCTTTGTCTCCCAGAAGTTGTCAGGGCACTGATTCTTACCCCAGGACTTGTGTATAGGGCAGAAGGCATGAGACTGCAAGGAGTCACTTCTGATACTTGCAGCTACCAGAGGGATTAAAAGAAAAGAACACAGGACCTTTTTTTGTTTTGTTTTAGTATCAGCCTGTTAAAACAGAGGAAGAATCTTTGTTGCCAAAGTTCATATTTCACCGTTGACTCTATTGACATGGGTCCTAGCAGAGCAGTCTTGCTTCCAGCTACTGGAATGGGAGCTGAGCCACTGATTTCCATAGAGCAAACCCTGGCCCCAGGTCTGTGTCATGGGCTGGATGTCAGTAAATTTAGGATGAAAATATATTCAGTTTTGGTGTTTGCAAATGCAAAGCCCAAGTGTAGTAAGATAACAGCAGCACATGTGATACACAGAAGAGCAAAGCAGGACAAGCCCAAGTCGACTGCTACCAAATATGTTTTGAAAAGCAGAAAATGAAGAGAGTGTTCTCTGACACTCCTCTTTGTCTCAGCAGAGCCCTGCTGGGTCCCAGCATTGTCTCATTGCTCTTTCTTGTGTGGTTTTCCTGACACATCCCATCTCAGCGAGACTGTGAGCACTTTGAGGCAGGGACCTAGGAGTTCCTTACATATTTGCATGTGCAAAAAGCTTGGCATGCTCACGGGCACTACTGTAATGGCAGTGATGCTAGGAGGGCTCCAGAGCAAGAAATGCAGGGTCACAGGCTTGAGTGATGACAATACCTGTCTGGTGATGCTCCTGTTTCCAGACTCAAAGTAGTGTGCTTTGTCTTTGCACTGGGAACAGCACCAGGTGGTGAAGGGAGACCTGCTGGCCTGGGGAAGGTGAGTGTACCATCCCACCGGGCACTGTGCCTGTGTGTACACTACTCCCAAATAAGCCAGGCACTGCCCCAAATCGCTCACAGTTCTGAAGTCAGAAGGGATCCCACTTGTGATACCCTGTCAGAGAAGTGGGACAGATAGGAAAAAGGATGTTGCAGATTCTGCTACGCAGATCTGACCCCAATGGTCCATGCCTCTGTCAGCATCTAGTGCTGAGGCTGCTCCTCCTTTGAAGAGGCATCCTGATGCCCAGCTGACACCCTTGGGACCCTTCACCGCCTCACGCCACATTTCTCCTTTCTGATAAACTCTGCCACCAACTCCTACCTCATTAATTTTTCTCCTCCTCCAAGGCTGACTTCTGCAGTCTTGACAGGGACACCGCTGCTGTGTCCCTCCTGCTCCCCCTTGTGGCCCCTCAGCTGAGTTGCTCCCAATGAGGCAGGAGGCAAGGATTTCTGAGGGTGGTATCTTTTACTGAACCAACTACATAGTTGGCATAGAGTTAGACAAGCTTTTAAATACAAGATATCCACAGGCCTTTTTTTCTTCCAGAGTACCCCTGGGGGACTCATCACCCCCAGTTACCTCTGTCATGACTAATTTGTATCCAGGGACCTAGGCATACTCTGGACTTTGTGCAGGGCTCTGCAGCCAGTTCCCGTGGCCATGGTATAAGGAGGGATACCCCCTCTGGGGCTTGCAATGCTGTTTTTGTGTGTACAGCCTGATATATACTGTAAAATAGAGTAACATGCATGCATTGGTTCCATGTAGTCTTGCATATCTTTGAGTTAGGCAAAGCATGGCCCTGGATGAGATCTGCAGCACTAGCAGGTACCATCTGAGAACCAGTTGCAGCAAAGCTAAGGCACCTCTGCACCAGGCTCAGGAGCAATGGAACTGTGATTGGAGCCTGTGCACAGCCCTCTGGTTCTCTGATATTACTTTCCCATTATCTCTGCTTGCCCTGGCATGGGTGTGAGCAGAAACCCTCTTCTCCGGAACCAGCCTCTTCCACATGGAGAGGGCACTGGCCTAGAAGATCCTGTTACTTGCTCTGCCCTGGATTCGATGTATGACCATAGGCAAGCCTCTCCACTCTTTGCCTCCCCAGTGGTACTAGATTGTATTATTTGCCTTGCTCCCAGGATGTCTGTAAGGGTTCTGAGATCCCTGGGTGAAAAGTGCATGTGCAAAGTATCATTGTTACTTGGTCTTTAAATGATGCCATCAGCCATCCCAGTGTTTGACAGAACCATTTGCTTCTGTTGGTTTCATGGCACTGGTAGCAGAACTGCACTGGCTAAATGGCTTATGCGAGGAAGAACCACACTGACACCTTGTCAGTAAGCAATGGTGGGGAAAGGAGATCCAGGAAAAGCATGAGGGCAATATATGATCTCTGTTGCGTTGGGAAGACAGGGTCAGAGACTTCTCCATTGAGAGAAATTGCAAGCAAAGCAGCACAGACAACTGGTCTGAACCCTACAGATGCAAGCTTAATTCAAAGCAGCAGACCATTTTTCTCAAATAAATTGATTTCAATGATGCTGATAACAGCTCCACTGACTGCACTAGACTGAAAATAAGATGCGTTTGGAAGCCAAAATTCAGTTTGCCTGCAAATGGAGTCATCATTTGAATTCTGTTTTGCTCTGAGGTTTTTGTTCTTGGCAAATCTAATCCTTGCTGTAAAAGAACAATACAGCCCCTGCCAGCAGATCACTGCAAAAGCATGAATGAAGCATTATAGACAGACCCCTGGTCCCAGTGCTACATTTAAATCCATAGTTCTATTCCAGACCTAAGCAAAAAATTTTCAGTTGTGAAATCTTACAAAGCAGGGATACTGGGGAATGATCATCCTTCCAGCAGGTGAGTAAAGGAGGAGGCTCTGTGGGTCAGAGGGAGAGCAAGGGGCAGGTTTCCTGTTTGAAATGCACAATATTTGTATGAACCATTCTAGCCAATTCATCTTTCAATTGCAATAAGAAAAAAGAACCACAAACCTAGAAACAATAAACAGACCATCTGAATCAACGTTGTATTTCTGTCACTAAAATTCCACCTCTGAAAAGGGATGTTGTGCCTTTAAGGATCAAAAATATTCATGCTGGTCATTTATTAATGATGCTGTAGGTGACCTCCTGGTGTTTCACCTCAAAACAAGAGAGGATCAGGCTTTAAGCAATTGTTAACAATTTGTAGTACTGTATCTTTTTAACTCTTTATAATGTCAAAAGGCAATACTTCGAGAAGAATGTTTCGTGCCACCACATCACAGAGATCCAATCCCGATTTTTACTGAATTTTGAAGAAAAAAAAAGGAACACAAAGGCTGTTACGTTCTTTGGGATAACTAGACAATGTCTTTTTATTGCACTCTGATTGCTGTTTTGTTAATTCCAGTAAGGTACTTTTGTTGGAACTCAAACCACTACTTTGAACTGTTCTGTGCGTACTTTGCATTTGTAAGATCCTTGTTCTCTCAGTGATGTTGATGCTTTGCAACAAATCTTTATATTGGTCCAAGTGGATTTGTCTTAAGTATACAATTTAAAACATTTTATTCACAATATTTCTGATTCATTTGTAGGTTGCTCTTTTTTGACAACTCAAGGGTTTCTCTGTAAAGGACTGAATAAAAGTTCTTTCAGCATTGTTTACACTTAACTGGCCTTGCTCCTTTTTGCATTCCCAGACCTTGGCCTGTCCCTTCCTCTCCATTTCTCCCAGTGCAAGCCAACAGCACTCCTGCCCCAGTATTCAAAGTTCTGCAACTCCTGCTCACAAGTCAGTGGGGCACGTCTGGGAGAAATCATGTTTGCCAGTAGGATGAGCTAGTTCTTGTTAGATACTGTCCTGCTCCAAAGCCATGGAGCACTTCTGATGCTCCTCCTGGAACATCCCGAGACTCTGTGTGCTGGGCAGCTCTTGGTGGACTTGTGTGCATTTCTCCAAGCAAAACCAGATTCCACGCCCAAGGGTCCTCATGGGCCCCTGCCCTTCCCCCCTCTTCATTCCACAGTCAATAGCTATAGGGTGCTTGCTTGGCAAACTGCCCTCCCGGTGTCAGTAAGTACAGGGTGAGCTGTTCAAAATGCTTGTCTGTGCCCTCTGGACAGGTTCTGTACCAGTGCAGGGTGTTGTGGGGAAGCCTCTGACACTGGTGTCATCAGGGTGCCAAGCCTGCAAACTTCACCCCACAAGCAGCATGTGCCTGCCACCGCAACATTGGAAAGATGACACCCAGTGCCAGGTACGGTTCAGGGGATGGCAGGGCCTATAGAGTCTATCACCTGGTGAGGACCCATGGGAACAGCTAAAATCAGACAACCAGGGTGACTGGCACCACAGTGGTTTGGGCTGCACCAACTCCAGGCTTTACAGACAACCAGGCCAGGTCCACACAAGCAGGGCTGTGCCTTTGCAGCAGTACAAATAGTTACACAAATTTGTGCTGTTACTTTGTGCCACAATACACACCCCTGCCCATGTGCTTTGCAGTGGGACACACCATCCTGCTGCTCCATGTGCTGCAAGGGGGAGAGGGGAGAGGGAGCTGGGGCACAGGTTGCCTCAGCAGGGAGGGGGCTAGCCATCCCCTGCGCTGAAGACCCCAGCCGGCCAGGTAGTGGCACATGGAGATGGGGGAGCAGGCAGGCCAGTGCTGCTTGCTCCCCTGTCTCAGCAGGCTGTGGAGCACCTGCGCCTAGGCACCCTGTGCCCCAGCCAGCAGCTCCCTGGCTAGCTGAGGCACAGTGTGCCTTGAGATGGGGGAGCAGGCAGCCTTGGGCTGGCTGCTCCCCTGGCTCAAGGCACACTGCACCTAGCTGGCTGCAGTGAAGCCCTCGCGCTGAGGCTACCTGTCCCACTATCGTGAGGCGCACTGCGCCCTAGCCAGCCAGGGAACGCAGGCTGCCTCTGCCTGGAGACTCCACAGTGGGAGACAGGAGAGCAGGCCACCCTGTCTCTGCCTTTGTCCTGGTGCCCCACACTTAGGTGTGGGTTCTGCTGCTTTTTTTCAAAGTTTTTTTTCTTTTCTTTTTTGCTGCTGGGAAATCCCGGTAGCAATTTTTGCCCCATGCTGCAAGTTAGCAGCGCTGCGCTCTCATTAACCTGCAACTTGTGCAGTTTGTGGTGCTACAAAGAGGTTTGCAGCCACAAACCACACGTGCCTGCAAGTCTGGATCCCGCCCCAGGCTCCATCAAGCCCCGCATTAAGTACCTGTGAATCGTTGCAACCAACACTTCGCCCCCGCGGCTGATTCCACCTAACGGCTACCGACGCCCGGCGAGCGGCCGGCTGGACGCGCCTGGGCTGCTGCGAGTCCACCGAGGTAGGGTCTCCCACAGCCACGGCCGGCGTCGGTTTTCGGCCTCCAGGAGCGAGGAGTGCCCCGGGCAGGGCTACAGGGTGCGGCGAGTGCAAGGCGCAGCGACGCCGCCATCTGGCGGCCGCGGGCCTCACTGCCGGCTCGGCCCGCCGCCTCCCCGGCCGGGCTGCAGGCCTGGTTG